TATATATAAAAATTTATCAAGCTGTGTATTTTTATGGGCATTTATAAAATGCAAAAAGGTAATGTATTAGGAAGGGTAAAATGTGATAGGTTCCAGCAATTATTAGAGAGCTGTGTTGGCTTGAGGATCCTACTTTAGTCATGACTGCCTCAGGTGGAGTGGAGTTGGCTATGTGGGAGATCCCGGCCCATTACTCTGGTTTTGCTTTCAAACTCTTCTTGGCATGGTCTGCTGTCTGAGAGAGGAGGGGCCATTGCAATTGGCCCTGAGCCCTGCACCAGAAGCAAAGATATCTGAACACACATGTAACAGAGAGGGGTGTGGTGAGAATCAGAGCAAGTGGAAAGTTCCCTAGAGGCTTCCAGCGGCAGGAGGCAACTGGCGAACGCAGATGAATGCAGACACCTTGAAACAGCGTCCATGGGGAATTGAGCATTGCTCCTGTATAAAAATGCTGTTGAGAAATGTGCCCTCAAAGGGAGCCACCTCTCTGTTCTAAGGATTTAGCTGTGGTAGTTGAGGTTACATCCAGAACTGTCCACACAGTTCACAGGGATGGTGTGGAGAAGTGGTTTGGGTTCTCATAATTTGTAAAAATCCATCCAAGTTGTCTCATGTAGCAGTAATTTTTTTTTTTTGTGTGTGTGTGTGTGTAAAGGGGGTGGGTCAGAGAGGGAGAGAGAGACTGATTTCAGGGAAGTAAACCTAAACTTGAGCTCCAGAAAAACCTAGCAGTCTTCTTTAACTGCAGTAATTCAAATAAGTATCCAAACCAACCCAAACTCACGCACACCAAAACTTTAATGTTTAATGTTAAAAGGGAAGGAGTAATTTGTACCAGCTTAGTGTGGGTATCAGTTTCTCTTCTTGTGAAGGCACGTTGGGGTCATTTCCCTAAAGAAGTTGGACCGAGTCCTTTATTTTTGCTTTAACCCTCCTTTTACCTCAGAATAGGACAACCAGGAAGATTGAGGCTTTGCTACCAAAAGCCCTGATAAAAGGCCAGCACACAAGGTAAAGCTCTGAGTAGAAGCCACACACTCACTTCACCCAAACCCAAATAAAAGTGTGGCCCTTGCAATGCTGTCAGCCTGCAGGGCACTGGCTTTGCCCGCCCCTCCCTCCACCCCATTGCAGGTGTGACCCTCCAGTGTCTGGGCAGAATGAATCTTCCGTCTGAGAGGAGAACAATGGCTCCTCACATACCTGGGAGTCTCTTTAAAGACCATGGACTGCTTCCTGAACAATTTGGGGCCTGAATCTTTTCTCATTTTTGTTTTCTTTCCAAAAGAACTATGCCTTTATTATGTAAACTTCAGAAAATACAGGTAAGAATTAAGGAAAAAAATCACCTAGAATCTGTTCAAATTATATCAAGTATGTATATTCAAATCTGCATAGACAGGAGTCCATCTTTTCTCTGTTGAAAAGCCTTCTCTTTCATGGATGGTATGGTCAACATTATTTACCTTAATTTATTATTTACCTTTATCATTCATTGTACTGACTACTTTCTATCAAAGCAATTCCTTGCTGTCAGACATTTTGGTCATTTTTCTTGGTATCATAAACAATACAGCCCATAATTATCCCTGGAAGCTGAACTACTGAGATCATCCTTGATTATTGTCTTAAACTTCTAAAAATAATAATAAAAAAACTGGGTAAAACTGAGGTATGGACTTTGTAGATTGTTGATACACAGCACCAAACTGCTGTTCTGAAAAGTTACACCAAATTCCACACCTGTTCCCACCGTGAGTAAATATAATCAGAGGAAACAGAATCCAGGAGATCTCACACACATAGAAGAAATTCAAATGGCAATGAAGGTAATGTTCCATCGCTTTTCTCAGATTTTAAGAGATTTCTTTCATGCGGGTTGTTATCTGTGAATTTGGTAACTATGGTGAATAGACATTCAGAGGCCAAGAGTGCTACTGAAATGATTCAGATTCTACAGTAATTTGTATTGATTTTATGTTGCTGAGTAAGAGTGAGCTGTTTCAGAACAATTCCGGAGGGAGTTTCCAGCCAAACTGAGAGATCTAGAATATTTCAGACCAGGACATAAGGCTATAAACAGAACTTTACAAGGCTACATGGTAATGTGTGCAAGCTTTTTCCTCTGGGCAATTCAATGTCTATTAAAGAATTTACAGACCAGTGGAAACTCTGAGTCATATACTCTGGGATAGGGTGATAGAGAGTCCCAGGGGTCTGTCACAGCCCCAAGTAGGTGGGTGGAGCATCTGAGTTTTAGTGTTGGACCATGAGAAGACTCCTGCTCATGGGGCAGAGGTGGGGGGTGGTGTTGCAGAGGGAGGAGGCAGAGGGGAGGGTGGGAAGGGCACAGGTCTACAGGTTAGACTGACCTGGATACAAACCACAGATTCTGTTTGCTAAACATGAGGTCTTGGGCAGATAACTTAACCTTGCCAGAGTATTTAGCATCAGTATTTTGTGTCGGCAATATTTTTGCTCTGTAAAAGAGAGCAAAGAGAGATTTTAGTGAAATAAAACGTGTAAAAACTAATTACAATAACTGGCCCATTGAAGGAATTCAATAAGAATTGCCATTATTACCACATATAATATAATAATAATAATTATTTCCACTTCCTTTAAGGATAAATTTAGGTAAAAATGGTCTCTAAAACTGGTTGCTATGCCCTTTTTCTTTCTTTTAGGATTCTGTCTTTCAAAATAGAGGTCCCTAAAAACCCACCCATAGACATCTTGCTGAGGGCAAGGAATAGAACATGAATAGAAAAAGAAAGGATGTTATTGATTTTTTTCTAATGGCTAACCAGATTTAGGTTTTTCCTTTAATCATGATTTTTATGCAACAAACCAAAATAGCATCAGCAATACTGATTGCACTTTGATCTATAGGATAAAATTTATGGGTGTGTTTTATGTCTTCTTGGAAAGAAATTTATGTTTTCATATCACATTTAGGTTGCTGTTGGAATTTAAAAAGATCTTTTTACTTGCAATTTCATTTCAAAAGCACAGTATGTTCTTAGATGGATTCATTAGATAGCAGCTATAACACACTCTGCCTACAAAGGTGAAATGATAGAGCTGTCAGGACAACTACAGTATAATCATGAAAGAACATCTGGGTAGAATATCCTAATATGTTGGTTTGCTTTGTAATCCTATGTAGCTTATGTATTTATAAACTTTTTTTTTTTTTTTTT